TCGTGATGAATAACCTCGTGATGAACAACGTCGTGATGAATAACGTCGGGATGAATAACGTCGTGATGAATAACGTCGTGATGAATAATGTCGTGATGAATAACGTCGTGATGAATTACGTCGTGATGAATGACGTCGTGATGAACAACGTCGTGATGAATAACGTCGTGATGAACAACGTCGTGATGAATTACGTCGTGATGAACAACGTCGTGATGAACAACGTCGTGATGAATAACGTCGGGATGAATAACGTCGTGATGAATAACGTCGTGATGAATAACGTCGTGATGAACAACGTCGTGACGAATAACGTCGTGATGAATAACGTCGTGATGAATAACGTCGTGATGAATTACGTCGTGATGACTAACGTCGTGATGAATAACGTCGTGATGAATTACGTCGTGATGAATGACGTCGTGATGAATAACGTCGTGCCGTGGTCAGTCGAAGAGTGGCCGGAGTTCGGCACTAAACCGGTTGTCGTGTGTCGAGTTAAACCCACAACAACATTCACAATTCAATTCTGGCCGTCGCCTGTAGATGCTGATGGTTGTTGAGGTTTGGAGTCTCAATCAAGGCACTCGATCCTGAAACCCACAGTGTCTTATGATCCCAACTCTCCATCCTGGTCTCACCGAGTCTCAAGACGCCGTGTGTGAAATCCAAGTCTTCCAGAAAGAGAAACTAAGCTATTGTTTTTATTTGACTGAGGCTACACGTGACTCTTTTTTCAGACGCCACCTGGCCACAAACGATAGCTTAACGAAGTGGGCTTATCGCCGTCGCGGGGGAATTTATAGACGCGTCCAAATACTCTAAACGCGTGTTTCTAAATGTGGAGGGGAAAACCGGAAAAGCCGGAGAAAAATCCACGCGACCACAGGGAGAACACGCAAACTCCAAATATACAGCAGCAGGCGTCAGGGTCGGGATCTAACCCACGACCTCTTGCATACCAGGCGAGATAGTTAACATCTCGCCACGGGGAGAGAGAGAGACACGCAAACTCCAAATATACAGCAGCAGGCGTCAGGGTCGGGATCGAACCCACGCCCTCCTGCATACCAGGCGAGGGAGTTAACATCTCACCACTCCAGCAGTGCATCTGAAACCCGGTGTCTCGAAATTCTCCCCTCTGATCCCGAGACCCGGTCCGCTGGGAGCTGAGCTTGAAGATGTCAATCACTTTCTCACTTTTGTCAGTCGGTCGTGCAGATGAATGCGTGCAAACCACGGACATGATTGAGGACTGCGTCGACATCGTCTATTTACAACAACACACAACGCAACATATTTTTTTTTTCACTTCAGGTTGCTTGCCACCAAGCAAAACCTCCATCGTGAAAGGTATTGACGCGCTGCGAAGACGGGACATTGCCCGCAGACACGGCACCTCTTGTGTATTCGTTTTCGTTTTTCAGACCACAGTGCCATTGACGAATGCGTTTGAGTTTTCACGTGTAAAGTGTTGCTACAGCAAAGAGCATGTTGATAAGTTAACGGAAACGAAATATTCTTAGCTCTTTCGGTAAAGTCAACGTGACTTTACCGAAAGAGCTAAGAATATGAATTACTGCAGTCACGAAAGCTTTAAATGGAAATTAAATAGTCGGTTCAAAATACATTTCTGCAGGCAATGAGGCCATTACGTTTTTTCTGTTAAAACGTCTGATACTACCAGTCACAGCAACCCATCCCATACAGAACCCTCGTCCCATCCCATACAGAACCCTCGTCTTATCCCATACAAAATCCTTGACTCATCCGATACAGAATCCTCGTCTCATCCCATACAGAACCCTCGTCTCATCCCATACAGAACCCTCATCCCATACAGAACCCTCATCCCATACAGAACCCTCGTCTCATCCCATACAGAACCCTCATCCCATCCCATACAGAACCCTCGTCCCATCCAATACAGAACCCTCATCCCATACAGAACCCTCGTCCCATCCCATACAGAACCCTCGTCTCATCCCATACAGAACTCTCGTCTCATCCCATACAGAACCCTCATCTCATCCCATACAGAACCCTCGTCTCATCCCATACAGAACCGTCATCCCATACAGAACCCTCATCTCATCCCATACAGAACCCTCGTCTCATCCCATACAGAACCCTCATCCCATACAGAACCCTCGTCTCATCCCATACAGAACCCTCATCTCATCCCATACAGAACCCTCGTCTCATCCCATACAGAATCCTCGTCTGATCCCATACAGAACCCTCATCTCATCTCTGATCCCATACAGAACCCTCATCTCATCCCTGATCCCATACAGAACCCTCATCTCATCCCTGATCCCATACAGAACCCTCATCTCATCCCATACAGAACCCTCGTCTCATCCCATACAGAACCCTCATCTCATCCCTGATCCCATACAGAACCCTCATCTCATCCCATACAAAACCCTCGTCTGATCCCATACACAACCCTCGTCCCATCCCATACAGAACCCTCGTCTCATCCCTGATCCCATACAGAACCCTCGTCTCATCCCATACAGAACCCTCGTCTCATCCCATACAGAATGCTCATCCCATACAGAACTCTAGTCTCATCCCATACAGAACCCTCATCTCATCCCTGTTCCCATACAGAAACCTCATCCCATACAGAACCCTTATCTCATCCCATACAAAACCCTCGTCTGATCCCATACAGAACCCTCGTCCCATCCCATACAGAACCCTCATCTCATCCCTGATCCCATACAGAACCCTCATCCCATACAGAACCCTTATCTCATCCCATACAAAACCCTCGTCCCATCCCATACAGAACCCTCGTCCCATCCCATACAGAACCCTCGTCTCATCCCTGATCCCATACAGAACCCTCGACAGACAACCGTACTAATGCCAGACCCTCCGTGGTCTCTCGCGAATGGACTCGTGCCAATACGCGTGAGCGTCTGTATAGAGTAAATAACCTCGCTCGTCCTAATGCGGCGGGGCCCGTCAGGCAGACTCTAAAACGCTCGCGCACGGCGGCCAGCCAGCCGCGGCTTTCCGCGGTGGAATCTGTCGATGGAACGAGGTCAAATCGGCGGGGGGGGGGGGCCGCCACTAAATCGCCATGAAAGGCACCGCGGGGAGGGGGAAGTTCAGTCCCGTGTGGTGCGACATCGCTCAAAATAAATTAGGTGGTTATTAATCGCACTTTTTCCTTACCTGTTAATTTAGATATATTTTTTTTAATAAGCGCAAGTTGCGTAAAATATATATATTTTTTTTTGTCGTAAAAATCCGTTCAAAGGCACTGCGGCATTGGCAGCCCCACGTGATGTTGTCGTTGATATCACCTGTCAGATGGGGAAACGTCTGGAATCCAGCGCTGTAGGTATGTATGTTGAACCTCTTTTTGCACCGTACGTAGCCGACAGTGCTAATAGGAGGTGTAGTGTTGAGTCTATGGGCAGTGTTGAGTCTATGGGCAGTGTTGAGTCTATGGGTAGTGTTGAGTCTATGGGCAGTGTTGAGTCTATGGTGCAGTGTTGAGTCTATGGGTAGTGTTGAGTCTATGGGCAGTGTTGAGTCTATGGGCAGTGTTGAGTTTATGAGCAGTGTTGAGTCTATGAGCAGTGTTGAGTCTATGGGTAGTGTTGAGTCTATGGGTAGTGTTGAGTCTATGGGCAGTGTTGAGTCTATGGGTAGTGTTGAGTCTATGGGCAGTGTTGAGTCTATGGTGCAGTGTTGAGTCTATGGGTAGTGTTGAGTCTATGGGCAGTGTTGAGTCTATGGGCAGTGTTGAGTCTATGAGCAGTGTTGAGTCCATGGGTAGTGTTGAGTCTATGGGTAGTGTTGAGTCCATGGGCAGTGTTGAGTCTATGGGTAGTGTTGAGTCTATGGGCAGTGTTGAGTCTATGGGTAGTGTTGAGTCTATGGGCAGTGTTGAGTCTATGGTGCAGTGTTGAGTCTATGGGTAGTGTTGAGTCTATGGGCAGTGTTGAGTCTATGGGCAGTGTTGAGTCTATGAGCAGTGTTGAGTCCATGGGTAGTGTTGAGTCTATGGGTAGTGTTGAGTCCATGGGCAGTGTTGAGTCTATGGGCAGTGTTGAGTCTATGGGCAGTGTTGAGTTTATGAGCAGTGTTGAGTCTATGGGCAGTGTTGAGTCTATGGGTAGTGTTGAGTCTATGGGTCGTGTTAGTCTATGGGTCGTGTTGAGTCTATGGGTAGTGTTGAGTCTATGGGCAGTGTTGAGTCTATGGGTCGTGTTAGTCTATGGGCAGTGTATGTATGTTGAACTTCTTTCACACCGTACGTTGCTAACCTCGCTAATCGGAGGTTAACACGGGTTGGCTTTTAAAGCCACAGCGTTATTGAGGGGACGTGCCAATTCTCTTGTTTGTGCAGAAGCTCGCGCAGTTGCAGCACATTTAAATAATTAGCTTACATCGAAAAATAAATTGTAATTACTATTATTACAGACGGATATAAAAAAAAAACATAATTAGTCGACGTGACGAGCATGACCCGGACCCGTCCGAGACAACGCCGGGCGGCCATGTTGCCGCCCCCCCTCGGCCACTGCGCGCCTCCCTTCCCCCCCGGCTCCCCCGCGGCAGCCGTCCCGGCAGCGGCACAGGCGCGGCCACGGCACGGCCATTGCCACCACGCGGCCAGAACCGGAGCCGCCGGAGGAGCCGGAGGAGCCGGAGGAGCCGGAGGAGCCGGAGGTGCCGGAGGAGCCGGAGGAGCCGGAGGAGCCGGAGGTGCCGGAGGAGCCGGAGGAGCCGGAGGTGCCGGAGGAGCCGGAGGAGCCGGAGGTGCCGGAGGAGCCGGAGGAGCCGCAGCGGAACGGAATCCGGCGTTCGGCGGCGGCGGCGGCGGAGCGTGGCTGCGTCTCGCAGCCCGCGGGGCAGCGTGGGACGCGGAGAGGGCGGACGCTCACGCAGCCGCCTGCCGCCACGGCGGCAGGCGGCGCCGGGCGCGGCGGCCGCACGAGGCAGCCGCCGCCGCCGTCGCGGCGGCGGCGCTGGCGCCGGCGGCGGCGGTGGTGCCGATGGCGGTCGCTGCGGTGGTGGTCCTGGTTGAGGGCGGGGGGGGTAGGTGCCGGGGGTAGGAGAGCGTTATCCATAACACAGGTGTGTTTTTTTTTTTGGGTTCGATCGCGTAAATATAAACGTTGTGTCGTTAAATCCGCCGACACCACCCGACACGGCCAATTTGGTAAGGTCGCTGTCACGTAAACAGAACGTGGCCAAATTCGTGACTAGCACGGCAACGAAACGGGTTGTGTGTTTGAGGGTAAAAACCCACGTGGCAACATTTGCAATTCGCGAGTGGCGTGACGTTCCCCGAGTCACTGCAACAACAACAACCAGCAGCAGCATCAGCATCATTAGGCGGACAGCGACAGAGTTGTGGATACATCCTCCTCCTGTCTTGGCCTTAAATGAGACTGGCTGGGATAATTGTGACATCGTCACCGGTGAGCCAATCAGGTGCAAAGTCCAGAGGCGGGGGGGTGGGGTTTAATGTATGCATGTGTAATGACAGTAGAGTCTACATGCGGTGTGAGTGGACTAGTGGCCACGGGAGGTAATGACAGGGGAGTCAGCCTGCAGTGCGAATGCATTAGTGGCCACGGGAGGTAATGACAGGGGAGCCAGCTGTGAGTGCGAAGGGACTGGTGGCCACGAGAGGTAATGACAGGGGAGTCAGTTGTGAGTGCGAAGGGACTGGTGGCAACGGGAGGTAATGACAGGGGAGTCAGTTGTGAGTGTGAAGGGACTGATGGCAACGGGAGGTAATGACAGGGGAGTCAGCCTGCAGTGCGAATGCATTAGTGGCCACGGGAGGTAATGACAGGGGAGCCAGCTGTGAGTGCGAAGGGACTGGTGGCCACGAGAGGTAATGACAGGGGAGTCAGTTGTGAGTGCGAAGGGACTGGTGGCAACGGGAGGTAATGACAGGGGAGTCAGTTGTGAGTGTGAAGGGACTGATGGCAACGGGAGGTAATGACAGGGGAGTCGGTTGTGAGTGTGAAGGGACTGGTGGAAACGGGAGGTAATGACAGGGGAGTCAGTTGTGAGTGTGAAGGGACTGGTGGAAACGGGAGGTAATGACAGGGGAGTCAGTTGTGAGTGTGAAGGGACTGGTGGCCATGGGAGGTAATGACAGGGGAGTCAGTTGTGAGTCCGAAGGGACTGGTGGCAACGGGAGGCAATGACAGGGGAGTCAGTTGTGAGTGTGAAGGGACTGGTGGCAACGGGAGGTGATGACAGGGGAGTCAGCTGTGAGTGCGAAGGGACCGGTGGCAACGGGAGGTAATGACAGGGGAGTCAGTTGTGAGTGTGAAGGGACTGATGGCAACGGGAGGTAATGACAGGGGAGTCAGCCTGCAGTGCGAATGCATTAGTGGCCACGGGAGGTAATGACAGGGGAGCCAGCTGTGAGTGCGAAGGGACTGGTGGCCACGAGAGGTAATGACAGGGGAGTCAGTTGTGAGTGCGAAGGGACTGGTGGCAACGGGAGGTAATGACAGGGGAGTCAGTTGTGAGTGTGAAGGGACTGATGGCAACGGGAGGTAATGACAGGGGAGTCGGTTGTGAGTGTGAAGGGACTGGTGGAAACGGGAGGTAATGACAGGGGAGTCAGTTGTGAGTGTGAAGGGACTGGTGGAAACGGGAGGTAATGACAGGGGAGTCAGTTGTGAGTGTGAAGGGACTGGTGGCCATGGGAGGTAATGACAGGGGAGTCAGTTGTGAGTCCGAAGGGACTGGTGGCAACGGGAGGCAATGACAGGGGAGTCAGTTGTGAGTGTGAAGGGACTGGTGGCAACGGGAGGTGATGACAGGGGAGTCAGCTGTGAGTGCGAAGGGACCGGTGGCAACGGGAGGTAATGACAGGGGAGTCAGTTGTGAGTGCGAAGGGACTGGTGGCAACGGGAATGATCGAGAAGGGAGCGTGGTCAGGTGACGGACGAGGACGGTAGAATCTGCCCGTACAGCGAGCGTCCAGATTCAGCGAGAATGATTGAGAAGGGAAGCGTGGCCTCGTGTCGGTATAAAAGGGAGATGCGCAGGAGACTCGGAGCTGTTGCAGTGGGGTCTATGCCTGTGTCAAATGGACATGTCTTCAATAAAGTGCCATCTCAAAAGAAGTGTCTCAATTTTGATTTAAAGCTTTCGTGACTGCAGGGATTCATATTCTTAGCTCTTTCGGTAAAGTCACGTTGAAAGGAAACAATAAAATAATAAAATATATAAAAACAATAAAAATTATCACGTCGTTTCGACCATAACACAAACGGTCGTCATGTTATGGTCGAAACGTCGTGAGAATTTTTATTGATTTATGTATAATTTATTATTTTATTGTTTCCCTTCAACGTGACTTTACCGAAAGAGCTAAGAATATGAATTACTGCAGTCACGAAAGCTTTAAACCAATTTTATTGTTTTATATTTTTATTATTTTGTTTCCCTTCTACGTGACTTTACCGAAAGAACCAATAATAAGTGTGTCAATATTATAGAAGTGTATCAAGTCGTCTTTACACATGTAGGACAGTGTTGTTCACTCATTTTTCAGTGGGGGAGCAAAGCTCAATGGGTTATTTTCCACGGATAATAAACTTCTGATTCTGACACACGGTTCAGCCACTACACTGCAGCTCACAAGAAACACAACGATCCTCCGTGTAACCTCAACAGACTCGTCGGGGTGAGTGCCGATAGCGACTGGAGCCTATGATCGTTACATTTAGTTACTGGTTCAGCACACCGGTGCGTTGGAGAGCAAACCCCACGTTCTGCTTACGTGACAAACCCCCCAAAAAAACCCTTTCGTTACGTATGATGTTGTTCGTGAGAGCCATCCTACTACTACTGCTACGTGTGAAACTTGGGCGATTCATTCGCACGCAACCAAACGAACCAAGTTGCGAGCATCAGGCTCCTCCGACTGGCACGGTTTGGCTTTGCAGGGTGCAAAAGAAGTCCAACGTGCATACACAGACATGTGGCTCAGGTACCTTGGGGACGCCGGCATCGCCACGGTGACGGCGAATGTGGCGCGGGGACGATGGGCGAGCGCACGGCCTCACAAGGCAGGCTCTTGTGCGGCGGACCGGGCGGCACCCATCCCCGATCCCCCCCGCAAGGCGCGTGGCGCGGCCCCGGCCGCACGACGCGGAGCAGGGAGACCAGCCGGGCGACGGCTCGCCCCGGCACGTGCCGAGCGGCTCGGCACGTGCCGCGGGCGGAGCAGGAGGAGGGAGAAGGCGGGAGGCGGCGGAGCCGCGGAAAGCTGCGGAAGGGGTGAGACAGCGCGGGGCCCCCCCCCCCCGGGGTTGGTTCGATCCGCACCGTCCGTCCGTAACGCGGAGTGTACGATAAGTCTCGTAGAGTTCAGCCGATAGGAACGAAACGCTCGCGCTGAGTTGTGTTGCAAGCGGTGACTCGCACGAGAGTCCGACTGGCACGGTTGGCCACGCACGGTGCGAAAGAAGTTCAACATACATGCATACTGCCCATAGACTAACACTGCCCATAGACTCAACACTGCCCATAGACTCAACACTATCCATAGATTCAACACTGCCCATAGACTCAACACTGCCCATAGACTCAACACTACCCATAGACTCAACACTGCCCATAGACTCAACACTACCCATAGACTCAACATTACCCATAGACTCAACACTGCCCATAGACTCAACACTACCCATAGACTCAACACAGCCCATAGACTCAACACTGCCCATAGACTCAACACTACCCATAGACTCAACACTGCCCATAGACTCAACACTACCCATAGACTCAACATTACCCATAGACTCAACACTGCCCATAGACTCAACACTACCCATAGACTCAACACAGCCCATAGACTCAACACTGCCCATAGACTCAACACTACCCATAGACTCAACACTGCCCATAGACTCAACACTACCCATAGACTCAACACTGCACCTCCGATGAGCACGATAGGCTCCGTAGAGTGAGAAAGAAAGTAAAAAAAAGCACACACCTGCCAATGTTTTAACTCCTTTGAAGCCCTCCTTTAGGATATCCCCTGCCGTGTCTGCCACCACCTCATCACTCCCTCCTGCTCCTCCTCCGCCACTCTCCAGGCCGTGTGCAGACGACGGCCCACAGTCCCACTCGAGGCAGCAGGCGTTTGTGCCTAGCGAGGGAGGCCAGAGAGGCACCCGAAGATCACCCACCACTCTCATCATCGTCGTCGTCGTCATTGCCGTCGTCATCGTCGTCGTCGTCTTCATCGTCATCGTCGTCGTCGTCATTCATCATCACGTTGAAATTCATGGCAGCTGCCAAATAACTCCTAAACGCGTGGTGACGTTGATTCTAATTGTGGAGGGAAAAACCAGAGGACCCGTACAAAAATCCACGCATCCACGGAGACAGAGAGAGACACGCAGACTCCAAATATAGAGCAGGCGTCAGGGTCGGGATGGAACCCACGACCTCCTGCATGCCAGGCGAGGTAGTTAACAGGATACTCTGCAAGCCCACTGGCTATCAGCAAAAATTCATTCGTGAAGCCATCCAGATAAACACAGACACAATTTGAACCGAGAAGATGGGTACAAACTGAGCAATCATTGGAAGGACGTTAGTAACCAGTTCCCTCCCTACCTACCTATGTTAGCAGTTATTTTCGACTCTCCGAGTTACATTCACGACCACAGCGACCGTTAGCTGTGTTAGTGAATGGCGAACTGCCATCCTTGTCCACCTCCACGTGGCGATGGCTCTCTCGAGCTCTCTCCGAGCTTACATTCACAAGCAAATATTTTACATTGACATGCTAATCTCTTACATTGACACGCTAATCTCTTACTTTCACAAGCAAATATCTTACATTGACAAGCTAATCTCTTACATTCACAAGCAAATCTCTTACATTGACATGCTAATCTCTAACATTCACACGCTAATCTCTTACTTTCACAAGCAAATATCTTACATTGGCATGCTAATCTCTTACATTCACAAGTAAATCTCTTACATTGACATGCTAATCTCTTACATTCACAAGCAAATATCTTGTATTGCCATGCTAATCTCTTACATTCACAAGTAAATATCTTACATCGACATGCTAATCTCATACATTCACAAGCAAATATCTTGCATTGCCATGCTAATCTCTTACATTCACAAGTAAATATCTTACATTGACATGCTAATATCTTACATTGACATGCTAATCTCTTACATTAACAAGCAAATATCTTGCATTGCCATGCTAATCTCTTACATTGACACGCTAATCTCTTACTTTCACAAGCAAATCACTTGCATTGACATGCTAATCTCTTACATTCACAAGTAAATCTCTTACATTGCCATGCTAATATTTTACATTGACATGCTAATCTCTTACATTCACAAGCAAATATCTTGCATTGCCATGCTAATCTCTTACATTCACAAGTAAATCTGTTACATCGACATGCTAATCTCTTACATTTACAAGCAAATATCTTGCATTGCCATGCTAATCTCTTACATTCACAAGTAAATCTCTTACATTGACATGCTAATCTCTTACATTGACATGCTAATCTCTTACATTTACAAGCAAATATCTTGCATTGCCATGCTAATCTCTTACATTCACAAGTAAATCTCTTACATTGACATGCTAATATCTTACATTGACATGCTAATCTCTTACATTAACAAGCAAATATCTTGCATTGCCATGCTAATCTCTTACATTCACAAGTAAATCTCTTACATTGACATGCTGATATCTTACATTGACATGCTAATCTCTTACATTCACAAGCAAATATCTTGCATTGCCATGCTAATCTATTACATTCACAAGTAAATCTCTTACATTGACATGCTAATATCTTACATTGACATGCTAATCTCTTACTTTGACATGCTAATCTCTCACAATACAATGGCCACCTCCACAGCTTTGTTTGTCAAGATTTACCCGATGTAACATTCACGTGCAAATTTCATCTCTAGCCCCGCTCACTGACCCTTGGGCTACACCCATCTCAAACCTTTATGTAACTCCCTGCCTTAGCAGCGCTCCCACCATATATTTTCAGCAGCTCTCCCGCTATATTTTTCACCTGATGACCATTGCTTGTGTTGCGATCGAAACGTCGTGATATTGTTATTCTTATTTTTATTATTTGTTATATCTACGTGGCTTTACCGAAAGACCCACAGAATATAGAGGCAGCCGTTAGTGTCGGGATCGAACCCACGACCTCCTGTGCACCGGGGGAGGTAGCTAACATCTCCTAGCCACCGTGATGATGATGATGATGAGAGAGTGATACACAAAACATCTCTGAGCCACTATGGTGCTTTGTCTTATCTTAACATAATTTATAAATCGCCTTGACCATGGCACAATAAAACAGATAGATGGGCGATGCATTGCTTATTCATTATTATTAAATAATTGTAATTAAAATTGTAATTATTAAATGTAATTATCAATCATTAATATTACTCATTATTATTAATAATTATCATTAATCATTATCATTAATTAATCATTATTACTAATCATTATTATTAATCAATATGATTAATACTTTTTAATAACTCTTTATTAATCATTATTATTAATCATTATTTATCAACCATTATTATTACTCATTATTATTAACCATCATTAATAACTCTCATGATTAATCATCATTATTTATTCATCATTATTATTAATAATCATTAATAACTCTCATGATTAATCATCATTATTTATTCATCATTATTATTAATAATCGTTAATAACTCTTATTATTCATCATCATCATCATTATTATTATTATTCGTCATCGTCATTATTTCCCCCCGCGGTGCGCACCTGGTGTGCGCCGCAGCAGGGGCCGCGGGCAGGCGAGGAGCGGCGGCAGCGGCGGTCGCGGGCGCGGGCACAGCGGGGCGCACCCCGCGGCGCCGTCCACGCACGAGCAGCGGTGGGTGCAGCTCACGGAGAACGACTCCCCGTGCTGATACACGCGGCCTCCCAGCTCGCACGAGCGGCCCTCCTGCAGCGCTGTGGACGTACACACACGGGTACACACACAGGTAGACACACAGCTACACACACACAGGTACACACACACAGGTACACACACAGGTACACACACACAGGTACACACACAGCTACACACACACAGGTACACACACACACAGCTACACACACACAGGTACACACACACAGGTACACACACAGGTACACACACACAGGTACACACACACAGGTACACACACAGGTACACACACACACAGGTACACACACAGGTACACACACACAGGTACACACACAGGTACACACACAGGTACACACACACAGGTACACACACAGGTACACACACACAGGTACACACACACAGGTACACACACAGCTACACACACACAGGTACACACACACACAGGTACACATACAGGTACACACACACAGGTACACACAAACAGGTACACACACAGGTACACACACACACAGGTACACACACAGGTACACACACACAGGTACACACACAGGTACACACAGGTACACACACAGGTACACACACACAGGTACACACACAGGTACACACACACAGGTACACACACACAGGTACACACACACACAGGTACACACAAACAGGTACACACACAGCTACAACAACCGCCATTCGCCACTAAGTGGCGGTGACGTCACCACGACGCTTGTGCCAGGCTATGTGCACCCTGAGGCCACGTGAAGTGTCGAACGCCCGCTGGCAGGAGGTCACGGGGCAGACCCAGGTGCCACGGGTCGACTGACTGAGATGACTGGCTGATGCACCACCTGTGCCCCCTACTGTGCCAACCTGCTGTGCTTTAGCCACCCGGCGCTCCGCTCGTTGTTCTGAGCGTCGCTCCTCCGCCCTCCGTTGTTGTTGGAGGGCGACTACCTCCAACTGCCCAGTAGCATCCTTCACGAGCCTCCTCCACAGAGGCCGATCTTGACACCGCTGGTACCAGTCATCGGCAAGTCCACTCAGCTCCACGTCCTCCTGTACCACATCACTCCATCTCTTCTCTAGCCCGTGCCGCACCCGCTTAGCCCCCTCAATCCGGCCGAACAAAAGCTGTTTCGGCATGCGGTGGCTGGACATGCGGGCTACATGACCCAGCCATCGTAGCCTTCCCCGCCGGAAGAGCTCACCGATGGGACCTTGCCCAGATCTTTCAAGGATTTGTGAGCTCCTCACACAATCCAGTCTGGTTAAACCCAGGATGGATCGTAGGCAGGCCAGCCTAAATGTTTCTAACCGGCGAAGATGTTCCATTAGGGGGGTCCACGTTTCGCAAGCGTAGAGAAGGGAGGGAATGACCGTGGCCGAGAAGACCTGAAGCTTAGTGCGGAGCGACAGACCAGGTAGCTTCCACACAGCGTTACGCAACCGATGAAAAGATATTGCTGCTCGACTGATTCGGAGTGAGACCTCTGCTGTTAAACTTGAGCCGGTCATAAGCACACTGCCCAGGTATGGGAAACTCTCAACTCTCTCCACAACTGCCCCATCACCAATTGGGAGTTGTGGGGGTGGAGTGTCCGATGGTACAAAATACCCAGGCAGATGCTTAGTTTTGGTGGGGCTGATGGTAAGGCCCCACCTCTTAGTGGCACGCTCCAGTCTCAGCAACAGCGTCTCCAACTCCTCCTCTGAATGAGCAGCTATTACCAAATCATCAGCATACATAACGTGGTTGAGCAATAGGGAGCCATCCCTTGACCGCACCCGGGCGTCGATCAGCCTCCCATTATATCTGTACCATATGGAGATTCCCCCGGTACAGCTATTGAAGGCTTCACGAACTACGTGGTCAAAATAGATATTAAATAATGTGGGAGCCAGAGGACATCCCTGTCGCACCCCAAGGTGTACAGGGAATGGCTCTGACTCCCGGCCACGTAGTTTTACCCGGGCCCGCTCACCATCATGAAGGTCCTTAATGATCGTGAGCAGAGGGTCAGGTACTCCAAAAGCACGAAGAACAACCCAGAGCCCAGGCCTACTGATGGTATCATAGGCCTTGACCAGGTCAATAAAGCAGAGACGTAGGTCTTGTTGGAATTCCCTACACCTCTGCTGTAGCAGACGGACAGAAAATATGGCATCTGTGCAGGACCGCCCTTTCCTGAAACTGCATTGGGGCTCCGCAAGCCTCTCCTCAGCGTGCCTGGCAAGGCGATGCTGAATAATCCTTGCCAGGACCTTTCCCGGCACACTGAGGAGTGAGATGCCCCTGTAGTTGTTACAGTCTGTGCGGTCCCCCTTCTTAAGAAGGGGGACCACCAGGGCATCCTTCCAATCCTGCGGAACCCGTCCAGTGGTCCAGACTGTTGTTATGATGTCATATAGGGCAGTCTGTGCACAAACGCCACCCTCCCTCAGCATTTCATTGGGAGATCATCTCTACCCGGTGCCTTTCCTGGTCTCAGACTCCGGATCGCCTTCAGTACTTCCTCAACAGATGGCGCCTCAGCCAGCCACTCACAGGGGGTGACTTCTTCCAATATTTGAGGCACCGCAGCCTTAGCAGGGTCATCCTCACCTTGTGCCACGATGTTTTCCTGGCTGAGGGAATTTCCCTCCCCCAGGACCTCACAGAAATGCTCAGCAAATCTGCAAGCCTGTTCCTGGGGGTCGGAGATTGGATCACCGTTTTTCCCCCTAATGATGGTAATAGGTGTGGCGCTGCAGGTTACCTTTTTGATGGAGTTAAATAGAGATTGGTGATCGCGGGCCACTGAGGCAGACTCCATCTCCTCAGCAACCCGCGACCACCACCCAGGTACACACACACACACACGTACACACACACACACAGGTACAAACACACACCCACAGGTACACACACAGGTACACACACACACACAGGTACACACACACAGGTACACACACACACACAGGTACACACACACACAGGTACACACACACAGGTACACAAAGACAAAGATCCCCCGTATAGCCTTAACAGACTGTAGGGGCAAGTGCTGTTAGCGAGCACCTATGAAGGCCGGAACGGTACACGAGGGGGTGGGTGGCCAGCACCACGCCCGACCGCCTTTGTCTCCCCAGTGGCGATGTTTACTACACACCGCACCAGGTACTCATTTCAGGCTGAGTCGACCTAGGGGAGGCCCAGGACCGGTTCAGATAATCGTCACTGGCGTTGGCCGTGAGCGGGAATCGAACCCGGGTGGCCAGGTTCGGAGTGCAGCGTAGCGCTAACCCTCTGCACCACAACAACAACCGCCATTCGCCACTAAGTGGCGGTGACGTCACCACGACGCTTGTGCCAGGCTATGTGCACCACACACACGTAACGAACTCGCTAACCTACTCACAAACTATTCAACTAAGTAACAAACTAACTAACCAACTAAATAAACTTTCAAACCCAGTAGTAACCGACATACTTTGCTCACCAAACTATTTAATCAACTAATCACTTAACTAAAATAACGAATCCACTAACCAAACGACTAAATCACCCAGCAAGCAAGCAACGAATGAGGTAACCAACGTACAAACTCACAAACTAACCAACCAACCAAATGGTACAAATATATCAAGGGAAACGAAACTTTTTTTTATTTATTTTACCAGGTAAGGCTGTGGAGCTCACAAAATTACACTTCAACGAAGTGGCGGCTTATCATCATTATCATCAAGTGGACATTTATAGCAACCAAATACTCAGTGACGTTGATTCTAAATGTGGAGGGGGGAAAACCGGAGGACCCAGAGAAAAACCCACTCGACCACGGGGAAAGAGACACACAAACTCCAAATATACAGCAGCAGCATGCGTCAGGGTCGAGATCGAACCCACGACCTCCTGTATACCAGGCGAGGTAGTTAACATCTCCTAGCTACCGTGATGATGATGAGAGACACACAAACTCCAAACATACAGCAGCAGGCGTCAGGATCGGGATCGAACCCACGACCTCCTGTACACCAGGTGAGATAGTTAACATCTCCTAGCCACCGTGATGATGAGAGAGAGAGAGACACGCAAACTCCAAATATACAGCAGCAGGCGTCAGGGTCGAGATCGAACCCACGACCTCCTGTACACCAGGTGAGATAGTTAACATCTCCTAGCCACCGTGATGACGATGAGAGAGAGACACACAGCAAACTCCAAACATACAGCAGCAGGCGTCAGGGTTGAGATCGAACCCACGACCTCCTGTACACCAGGCGAGGTAGTCAACATCTCATAGCCACCGTGATGATGATGAGAGAGAGACACCGCAAACTCCAAATATATAGCAGCAGGCGTCAGGGTCGAGATCGAACCCACGACCTCCTGTACACCAGGCGAGGTAGTTAACATCTCCTCGCCACCGCAGCGTCCCGTAACTCGTGAACCGGGGTGTTTGTTTGTTTGTGTGTGGGGGGGGGGGGGGGTCGCGCGCGCGCGCCACCTCTGCCGACGCCGGGCGCGGCGCGGGGGGGGGGCCGCCCCCCCGCGTCGCACGTGAGCCCGCGGAGCGAGTCGCAGGGCCTCTGCGAGTCGCAGTCCTCGTTGAAGAGCTGCGCGCACACGCGGCAACAGCCGCACGCGTCCCACACGAGGGGCACCCCGGGGCGGCACGGGGCCTCGGGGACAGCCGCGGGGCACGAGCACGGGGAGGGGCACGAGGAGGAGACGACACGCGCCTGGGGAGGGGGGGGGGAGATGGGGGTGGTGGGTGAGGGGGGTGGGGGGAGATGGGGGGATGGTGGGTGAGGGGGGTGGGGTGGTGGGGGGTGATGGGTGGGGGGAGATGGGGGGGTGGTGGGTGGGGGAGAAGGGGGGTGGTGGAGAGTGGGGGGGATGGGGGTGGTGGGGGGTGATGGGTGGGGGGAGATGTGGTGTAGTGGGTGGGGGGGATGGGGGTGGTGGGGATGGAGGGGGTGATGGGGGGGGCAGGAGGATGGGGGTGGTTCATATCAATCAAAATTACAAAGGTAAAGGTCACCCGTGTAACCTGTACAAGCTGCAGAGGAAAGTTCTGAAAGTAAGCGGCACGGTGTGTGTGGAGGGTCGGGGGGGGGGGGCTCTGGGGGCATGCGCACACGGGGAGGGAGGGAGTGGGGGAGACGAATATAAACAATGAATAAGGATATTGCACACGCATGGATTCTTAAAGATGTCTTTGTTTACTTAACCTTCACCCTCTGTTGTAGATTATATAAGAAAACCCTTCATCTTCTCCTGACTGCTGACTGCCTCTCTAAAAAAACACGGAGACCCCCACAGACTCACAGGGAGATCCACAGACTCACACGGAGACCCCCACAGACTCGCACCGAGATCCACAGACTCGCACCGAGATCCACAGACTCGCACCGAGACCCACAGACTCACACGGAGACCCACAGACTCACACGGAGATCCACAGACTCGCAAGGAGACCCACAGACTCACACGGAGATCCACAGACCCACACGGATACCCACAGGCACGCACCGAGACCCACAGACTCGCACGGAGATCCACAGACTCGCACAGAGACCCACAGACTCGCACGGAGACCCACAGGCACGCATCGAGACCCACAGACTCACACGGAGACCCACAGACTCGCACGGAGATCCACAGCCTCACACGGAGACCCACCGACTCACACAGAGACCCACAGACTCGCACGGAGACCCACAGACTCGCACCGAGACCCACAGACTCGCACGGAGACCCACAGACTCACACGGAGACCCACAGACTCACACCGAGACCCATAGACTCACACGAAGACCCATAGAATCACACAGAGACCTATAGATGATTAAACATTGTATAAGTCGTCGCGCGCTTTCAGATGCGCTTCTGCGGCCGTCTGGAACGCTCTTCCATCCAATGTCAGGAAGCCAGTGGGAGCTGTGCACTTTTAAATCATCTAGACTGAAAACGCATTTCTTTCGATTAGCGCAGTCGTCTACGTACGGTACGAAAGAAGTTCAACATCCATTCATTGTATTCAATGGGATTTTTTTTATTTTTTATTTACACGCTTTATATTAACTCACTGTCTGTTGTCGTTGTATCCTCAAATCTTGTAACTCAATTTTAACCCGCTTCCCAATGTGATATCGACTGCAAACTTGGTATGCTTATGTCATACTGACGACAATACTATATTCTGTCATTTAAAAAAAATCTATATTTTTTTCAACAATCTTTTTTTATAAGTTATGTTTCGGCTTGGGTCTAATTGTCCACGCTCAACTGACGTTGGCTGTAAATCACCACGGTCCCCTTACGTTGTGGCAAACTTCGGGGGCCACTTCCTGGAGTCGTGGAGTTCTGCCATTACTAGTACGGTACATTTCATTAAAGCGTGTTGAAAAAAAAGTATTTTAAAATATTACTTATTTACAAAGTTCTATTGAATTTACAGCGTGCGACGTGTTTCGTAGTGTGCGGAGCCACTAGGTGGCCACACAGCCCACGGGAATGGTGTTTATCCTCAAAATAATACAATTCACCTCCAAGTCTCCAATTGTCCCTCCAAGTAAAATAAAAGTTTATACGTAGGGATTTGTTGACACATCCCATCAGCCACACAGCCTTCTGGGAGTGCATCGTATCAGCAGCATTGAGTCAACAGTCTATGGGTAGTGTTGAGTCTATGTGTAGTGTTGAGTCTATGTGTAGTGTTGAGTCTATGGGCAGTGTTGAGTCTATGTGCAGCGTTGAGTCCCTGAGCAGCGTTGAGTCTGTGGGCAGTGTTGAGTCTATGGGCAGTGTTGAGTCTATGTGCAGCGTTGAGTCTATGTGCAGCGTTGAGTCTATGGGCAGTGTTGAGTCTATGTGCAGCGTTGAGTCTATGGGCAGTGTTGAGTCTATGTGCAGCGTTGAGTCTATGTGCAGTGTTGAGTCTATGGGCAGTGTTGAGTCTATGGACAGTGCTGAGTCTATGGGCAGTGTTGGACCTATGGGCAGTGCTGAGTCTATGGGTAGTGTTGAGTCTATGGGCAGTGCTGAGTCTATGGGCAGTGTTGAGTCTATGGGCAGTGTTGGGTCTATGGGCAGTGCTGAGTCTATGGGCAGTGTTGAGTCTATGGGCAGGGTTGAGCCTATGGGCAGTGAGCATACGGTATATATTGTTTTATATTTTTATTATTTTATTGTTTCCCTTCTACGTGACTTTACCGAAAGAACCAAGAATACCAATCCCTGCAGTCACGAAAGCTTTAAATCAAAATGTATACGGTACATGTTGAACTTATTTCGCACCGTACGCAGCCGACCGTGTAAATCGGAGGTGCGGGACAAAATACATCGCAGGATCGTGAGAGGTTGGCGATGGCTTGGGGAATGCCTCAAGTCCAGCAGTGGATTGAACATGGCTGATGATGATGATGCCGATGAGTGTTCCGTATCTGTGTGCATGCAGTGCTGACTTACCTTCATTACTAGACACGTCAAGGAAATTAATAACTTGAAGGTCCCTGTCCAGTTCCGCAGCATCGCGCGTGTGGCCTCCGCACCGAAGTCGAACGATGAAAATATTCCACGCTCACGGCGAACGGGCGTTCTAAGTGTTCACATGAAGGTGTCACGCAAGGATTTTTTTTTTATTAAAGTTGGAAGCCCTGAGAGTCTATAAATCAGCTACACTGCTCAAATGCGGCGACGGGCATTCTGTGCACGCAGTTGCGACGCACAAACGTGTTACCCGCACGGGCGACTTGCAAGGTGCAGGTGAGCCCGCTACACTTTTTACCTGCTACACTTTTCCACCACATTTCCCGCGTTATTATAGGCGTGCGCGAGCCACGCCCTCGCCGTGACGTCACGCGCTCAAGGCCCCGCCCCGCGCAGCGGCGGCTGGACCGCGTGCCCGATGGACAAATAATACGCGGATGACGTCACGTAGCTGCCAAGCCCTTATCAGTGCCCTCCCGACCTTAGGGGCCGTCGATAAATGACGTCACGCGATTTTGGATGATTTTGGACCCCCCCCCCCTTCGTCACACGGCGTCACAAAAATTCAGACCCCCCCCTCAAATATGACGTCGCAAAGATCTGCCCCCCCCCCAATTTTTTTTTATAAAACATGCTTCAAATCCCTTTAAACTATTGTCATTTTACTGCGTATTTAATGTGGCGCTGCACTCTGATGTTGTAGGAGAAAACATTTATTAAAACGTCTATTTAATTAAGTAGAGCGTGTTGTCTATATTTATTTAAAGTTGCGCATTTTGATGTGACGTCACATTTCTCACCCCCCCCCCTCGTCACACATCGTCACAAATATCTGACCCTCCCCCCCCAGGTTAGTGACGTCATGTATGGACGGCCCCTTATTAGAGACAAATTCAGAACTCATTGGTCACCCCGTGCGCTTATTAATATCAGCGTTCATCGCACAAAGTCTCATCACAAGGGAGAAACACGACCAAATCGACAAACATGATTTTTTACTCAATTTCCCTGTACAAGAATACGATTAAACCGTATGGGTTGACAAAAATGCTATATCTATATATCTCTATGGGTCTCTGTGTATATCTATGGGTCTCTATGTATCTCTGTTGGGTCTCTATCTATCTCTATGGGTCTCTGTTAATATATCTATGGGTCTCTATGTATCTGTTGGGTCTCTATCTATCTCTATGGATCTCTGTGTATATCTATGGGTCTCTATGTATCTCTGTTGGGTCTCTATCTATCTCTATGGGTCTCTGTTAATATATCTATGGGTCTCTATGTATCTGTTGGGTCTCTATCTATCTCTATGGATCTCTGTGTATATCTATGGGTATCTATGTATCTCTGTTGGGTCTCTATCTATCTCTATGGGTCTCTGTGGATCACTATGGGTCTCTGTCCATAATAATAATACCAATCAACCCCTTATCAGTGCCCTACCTTATCACAGACCAATTCAGACATTATGGGTCACCCCGTGCCCTTTATAAAATCTCAACGCTCATCCTGCGAAGTTCCATCACAAGGGAGAACACACAAACAAATTGACAAAATTGATCTTACTCAACAAAAATGTTTTTATGTATTAATTTTTATACTTGGTATCAATCATGCTACTTATGATGCGACTGTCTGATCTTGCATGGTGATGCTGCTGCTTGCTTGATATGTGGATACACACATTCACATACCCGTCAACCCCTTATCCATGCCCTATCTTATTACAGACCAATTCAGACCTTATTGGTAACTCGGTGTCCCTTATAAATCTCAATGTTCATCCTACAACGTCTCATCACAAGGGTGAAACACAAACACATAGACAATTGTTTTGTTTGCCAGTATTGAAACGGCTGTACACCGTATGGAGCTGAAAACTCAATTTCCATGTACAAGAATGCGTGTAAACCGTATTGGTTGGCAGGTGTGCATTACACTATACACTACAATATACACTACTATACACTACACTTTACACAACTATACCCTATACTATACGCTACACTATACATGACCATACCTGGCAACCCCTTATCAGTGCCCTACCTTATCACAGAACAATTCAGACCTTATTGGCCACCCCGTTGCCTGATAAATCTCAATGTTCATCCTGCAACATTTCAGCACAAGGGTGAAACACAAAGAAATAGACACTTACATTTCGATTTAAAGCTTTCGTGACTGCAGGGATTCATATTCTTGGTTATTTCGGTAAAGTCACGTAGAAGGGAAATAATAAAATAATAAAAATAAAACATAATAAAATTCTCACGACGTTTCGATTGCAACATAAGCAATCATCATCATGTGTGAAAAAACCACAGCAAGAAAATGTGAAAAAAGTGGCGGTTTTTTCTTAACATTAAGCAAGAAAATTAGAAAAAAGTGTATAGTGTAGTATGCATGCTATATGATATAATTTCACACGCATTTATAAATGACCTCACGCACCCCCCTGAGACATTGCCACGTGTACCCCCCCCCTCCCCCCCAGGGGTCCGCGTTGAGAACCACTGCTCTGAGGGGCTAATGTTTTCATACCTCTCAACCCATCACGGTTTACCCAGTATTCTTGTGCAGGGAAATGTAGTTTTCATGTTCAAACGGTGTACAGCCGTTTCAATACATGCAAACGAAATGACTTCTATTTGTTCGTGTTTCTCCCTTGTGGTGTAGGATGAACGTTGAGGTTTACAAGGGGCACGGGGTGACCATTAAGGTCTGAATTGGCCTGTAATAAGGTACGGCACTGATAAGCGGTTGACAGGTTTGTAGTGGTGAATGTACTAGTGGTGAGTGTACTAGTGGTGAGTGTACAAGTGGTGAGTGTACAAGTGGTGAGTGTACAAGTGGTGAGTGTACTAGTGGTGAGTGTACAAGTGGTGAGTGTACTAGTGGTGAGTGTACAATTGGTGAGTGGAGTGGTGAGTGTAGTCGTGGTGATCGTCTATTTGTTTGTGTTTCTCCCTTGTGGTGGGACTTTGTAGGATGAACGTTGAGGTTTATAAGGGGCACGGGGTGACCAACAAGGTGTGAATTGGCCTGTAATAAGGTAGGGCACTGATTAGGGATTCACAAGTTTGTGTTTTACTCTCCAACGTTGACCAAACGTCTCGCGGGAGAGGTTTTGGCCTACCCATATTACGCCCGCACGCGACTCGCTCCGAGTACGTCATCAACTGTGACGTCACAATTGATTACACTGACGCGTGGACAGAGGCGGGTCGGTGGGGGGAGGGGGGGTGCCGCTGTTTGTCGACTGTCGTGCGCCTAGCGATGGAATCCAACCGGCGCTCCTCTGGATTGCAAGCCGAGCGAGTTTAATCGTTTCCTCCACTGTGGCAGAGCTTGCTTATATCGAGGTTAAGCAAAGGTGAAGTAGCCAGCACACACACGCACGGTGCCATGAGAACGCATTGCCAAGGGACACGGGGCGAAAGAGAGAGAGAAATTTCGTCCAATTTTACTGGGACAACTTCAGGCAGCGACATTGTCGCTGACAACCAAAACAACGGAACAAAGGCCCGAGGGGGGAGGGGGGGGATGGTGGAGAAGACGCGCGCTTGGAATTGTAAGGGACGGTCCGTTTTGAAAGGCTAACCACGTGGCTCCCGTCCGTTCACTCGGCCCGGGCAACTCAGCCGACCGCACGCGAGAAAAGCCCCACTCACCACAGGCAGATTCACAACTTTATCAACAGGATATTAAACATCGACTCACAACAGCCACCTGCAAACATTACATTCATTAACTGTATATTTTGCTGTAGGGGTGAGACGCGTTGCCTCACTTTCCCAACCCAGGTGAGTTGTTGAACTCGAACCACAGGTGAGCTGGCATCTGAACACCCTGGCAGGGCGAGACGCATTACCTCACTCTTCACACCAGGTGAGTCACTGAACTCGAACCACAGGTGAGCTGGCATCTGACCACCCTGGCAGGGCGAGACACGTGACCTCACTCTCCCAACCCAGGTGAGTTGTTGAACTTGAACCACAGGTGAGCTGGCATCTGAATACCCTGGCAGGGCGAGACACGTGACATCACTCTCCCAACGCAGGTGAGTTACTGAACTCGAACCACAGGTGAGCTGGGGTCTGAACATTCTGGCAGGGCGAGACACGTGACCTCACGCTCCCAATACAGGTGAGTTGTTGAACTCGAACCACAGGTGAGCTGGGGTCTGAACACTCTGGCAGGGTGAGACACGTTACCTCACTCTCCCAACACAGGTGAGTTGCTCCCTGCAGCAGCTGAATGATTAGGTGTACTCTCAGCCTGGTAACGCAGTCATCCACCTTTCCCCACTGGAACAAATACTGTGTTCGCCGGATATACAAACCTGGGACTTGATGGGAGCGACGTCATCAGCTCGTGTCGTTGTAACTTTCTGAGCCCCGTGCCCCCGACTGGAAGTCTGTTGGCGGGGGGGGGGGGAAAGAGCTTCATAGCTCATCGGATTCCTCCAGTATAAATCAAGATTTTATATTCTGTGCGCAGGAGCGAGATGAATTGTGTCGCTCGGCTGTGCGAGGGATTTCGACGGCTTCAGAAGGCGTTCATCTAGCAGTGGAAAGACCACGGCTTAACGTTGGACTGTCTGTGGGGAGCGGTGGTACAACGGTTAGCGCGCTGGGCTACGAGACTGGCGACCCGGGTTCGATTCCCGCTCATGGCCAACACCCAGTGACGATTATCTGAACCGGTCCTGCGCCTCCCCTAGGTCGATTCAGCCTTTGTAGACATCGCCACTGGGGGAGAAAAAGGCGGCCGGACGTGGCGCTGGCCACCCACTCCCTCGTGTGCCGTGCCGGCCTTCGCAGGTGCTCACTAACAGCACTTGCCCCTACAGTCTGTTAAAGTCTACAGGGGGATTATTGCCTCGTGTAACTCCTCCACAATTCGATTCAATAATCGATTATCGATACTTTAGTTCAAAGAGAACCTGCAAGTACATATATCAGCTCTACGAAGTTATAGCGTCATGAATCTAATCGCAGCTAAAGTGGTTTTCACGCACCTGTCCCCGCTATCAATAAAGTTCCACGAATCTGGTCACACATATCAACCGGATTATAAGACGCCACCACCCGTGTCAATAAAGTTACACGAAGCTGGTCACACACATCTACCGGATTGTAAGACGCACGCACCATCGATTTTCGCGTTAAAATACAACGCGAATAAGTTGTGTGTTATAATCCGGAGGCAATGCTCAGACGTGTTAATGTCACCTAAAGTAACCTTGTAAATCTACCGCTGGATGACGATATACTTCACCACGATGGTCAACGCGGATTATAAGACGCACTCCTACTCCCTCACCCCTCCACCATATTTTAAAAGCAAAGGTACAGGTGCGTCTTATAATCCGGTAGGCGTGTGTTTGTGAGCTCAGATTTGTATAACTTTATTGACACCTGGTACGGTACATGTGTGTGGTGCGTCTAGAGGCCGTCCATTAATGACGTCACGCACCTGGGGGGGGGGGTGGTCAGACATTTGTGACGATATGTGACGAGGGTGGGGGGGGGGGTTTGAGAAAAGTGACGTCACATCAAAATGCGCAACTTTATAAATAAATATAGACAACACGTTCTACTTATATTCTTGGTAGAAGGGAAACAATAAAATAATAAAAAATATAAAACAATAAAATTATCTTCTACGTGACTTTACCGAAAGAACCAAGAATATGAATCCCTGCAGTCACGAAAGCTTTAAATCAAAACGTTCTACTTAATTAAATAGACTTTTTAATAAATGTTTTCTCCTACAACATCAGAGTGCAGCGCCACATTAAATACGCACTACAATGACAATAGTTTAAAGCGATTTGAAGCATGTTTTATTTTGGGGGGGGGGGGCAGAGCTTTGTGACGTCATATTTGAGGGGGGGGGGTCTGACTTTTTGTGACGCCGTGTGACGAGGGGGGGGGGGGTAAAAAATCGTCCAAAATCTCGTGACGTCATTTATGGACGGCCCCTAAGGTAGGGGCACTGATAAGGGGTTGACACGTATGTCAGTGTGTGCATCCACATATCAAGCGAGCAGCAGCATCAGCATGGAAGATCACAGACACTAGTAGCATGATAAGTAGCATCATTGACACCAAGTATCAAAATTAATACATAAAACAAAACGTTTTTGTTTCGTAACATAACTTTTGTCTATTTGTTTGCATTTCTCCCTTGTGATGGGACTTTGGAGGATTAACGTTGAGATTTATAAGGCACTTGTAGTGTTGTAAGGACGAGCAGACTTCTTAGGAGGCACACTCTGTTTATTGTATTATTTCCTTATACAACGCTTAACACACACAGAGGGATATTCGGTCCCCTCACCCGATACCCTAGGGAGGTACAGCCTCCGGACTTGGCGGGACTCACACGTCTACCGCGAACCTCCTTGATACCTAAGGAGGTACAGCCTCCGGACTTGGCCGGATTCACACGTCTACCGCTAACCTCCTTGATACCTAAGGAGGTACAGCCTCCGGACTTGGCGGGACTTACACGTCTACCACTATCCTAGTCCTCCGGCTAGGACCTAGGGGAGGCTATCTGACCCACCGCTGGCCCGGTGGGTCCTGACCACTGGGTATGCCGAGCCTTAGCCCTCAGAAGGGCTGGAAGGCTGGTCCAGGGTCCTAGCTAGGCATCAGCCCAGTCTTCTGTCTTCGTGCAGGGAGAGAACTCCCCGAGGTCCGTTGGGTCACCCGTCTTATACTCCTTCGTGGCCAGGTAGAACCAATCATACATTCCCACGTGGAACCGTCTGATTGGTTCGTACCAAACCCTGGCTACGATCCGTTTCACCTCGACTGACCTCAACCGTTGTACCCAGGGGTAATGCTGCACTGCCCTGGTGGCAATGCAGGTTACGCAACAGCGCGTAGTTAACGCCTCTACACACTGATAAGAGTTTGACAGGCATGCGATACCGAATAAGGAATCGAAACGAATCGATTCCGATGCGATGAATTCTGATGCTGCATCGTTATTGTAAGAATAGATTCATTATAATTGCATCAATCAATAATCATTCTCGTCGTTATGCAATTATCAATTTCCTGGAAAGCAGATGTCATCGGGGTGAGGGGGAGGGGTTTGTGGGGGTGAGGGGCGGGGCTCGGGGTTTTAAATGGAGGGAGAGGGCAGGGTTTGGTGGGGGGTAAGGGGCGGGGCTTGGGGGTTTTAAATGGGGGGGGGAGGGGTTGGTGGGGCGTAAGGAGCGGGGCTTGGGTGTTTTAAATGGGTGGGGGGGAGGGGTTGGTGGGGGGGAGGGGCGGGGCTTGGGGTTTTAAATGGGGGGGGGGGAGGGGTTGGTGGGGGGTGAGGGGCGGGGCGCGGGGTTTTAAATGGGTGGTGGTGGGGGGGTCTGCGGTTGTTAGGGGGAGTTTGGGCTACGGTGGATGTGGGGGTGGAATGAGGGGCGGAGGCGGGGGGGAGAGAAAAAAAACCGCGCGCGCTCATTGGGCGCGCGCAATCATTTGGTGGTGGCATTGGTAGAGGTGGGGGTTAGTGGGGGGGGTTAGTGGGGGGGGTTAGTGGGGGGGGTTAGTGGGGGGGGGGTTAGTGGGGGGGGGGGTTAGTGGGGGGGGTTAGTGGGGGGGGGGTTAGTGGGGGGGGAGCTTGAGGGGCGGGGTTGATTGCAGCGTGAACCCCACCCCCTGTGCATGGGCAAGAGAGCCCCTCCCCTCACGTCCTACATAACGGGCTGTCTCACGCGTGAGCGCGACGCACGGTGGAACGGGAGTAGGAGAGAGACTGTGAGAGAGAGAGAGATAAGGAGAGAGATAAGGAGAGAGGGATACAAGAGAGAGAGGAGAGAGAGGAGAGAAATCGCGAGCGAGCACGCCGAGCGGTGCAGAGGGACGGGAGAGAAAAGGGCGGGAAAACAATTTAGCGCGAAAGGGAGAGAAAGCGGTGGAAGGGCTGCACGCTTTCTCTTAATTTTGGCGGGAAAATATACGTTCCTCCACGACAATTAAATTGGTAAAATTAAATAAATATTTCCCCCCCATCAACCTCCGCTAAATTGATACCAGTAGGTTGTGAGGCGAGGGGGAAAAATTTTTTCGTGGAAATTTGTATCCGTGTGAAAAGTGCCACTAAAAAAGTGGGAAAAAAACCGCACAAAACGTGAGGTAAAAAAGCAAATCTTTAAAAAAATAATATTTTTAAATTACAAATATTTAACATATATATTTTTTAAAAAGCACCAACAACCCACCGTCACCCCGCCATCGCCTTACACTGCGCATTGTACTACGCACCCAAAGCCGCCACCACCACCTCCATCATCACCATCACCACCACCTCCATCATCATCACCTCCACCATCACCCGACTCAACCACTCACCGAGAGAGAAGGAGAGCGAGACATGGCGGCGGCGGCTTCCTTCGGCAAATTCACTCACGCCGTGGTGAGGGAGCTGCCCGCTTCGCTGGCTTCGGGCGCGCTGCGGCACCACGCGAGCGCCGAGGCGGCGGACCAGGAGGAGGGTGAAGCGGCGGTCGACATGGCGAAGGCGTTGCGGCAGCACGGCGTCTACGTGGGCGCCCTGCGGCAGAAGCTCGGGCTCCAGGTGGTGGTCATGCCGGCCGACGAGGCGCTGCCCGACTCCGTGTTCGTCGAGGATGCGGCCGTGGTGTGTGGCGACACGGCCCTCCTCACGCGCCCCGGGGCACCGTCGCGGCGGCTAGAGGTCAGTGGGAGTTGCGGGGGGGGGGGGGTGGTTGGTGGTGGTGGTAGAGGTTGTGGTGGTGGTAGAGGTTGTGGTGGTGGTAGTAGAGGTTGTGGTGGTGGTGGTAGAGGATTGTGGTGGTTACGGTAGTGGAGGTGTAATGGTGAGGGAAGGTGGTGGTGGTAGAGGTTGTGGTGGTGGTGGTGGTGATGGTGGTGGTGGTGGTTGAGGATTGTGGTGGTGGTGGTAGAGGTTGTGGTGGTGGTAGAGGTTGTGGTGGTGGTGGTGGTTGAGGATTGTGGTGGTTACGGTAGTGGAGGTGTAATGGTGAGTGAAGGTGGTGGTTATGATGAAGGTGGTGGTAGAGGTTATTGTGGATGAGGGTTGTGATGGTTACGGTGGTGGTGATGATGGTGGTGGTGGTAGAGGTTATGGTGGTTGGGTGGTGGTGGTGGTTACGGTGGTGGTTATGATGAATGCGGTGGTAGAGGTTATGGTGGTGGTGATGATGGTGGTAGAGGTTATTGTGGATGAGGGTTGTGATGGTTACGGTGGTGGTTATGATGAAGGTGGTGGTAGAGGTTATGGTGGATGAGGGTTGTGATGGTTACGGTGGTGGTTGTGATGAAGGTGGTGGTAGAGGTTATGGTGGATGAGGGTTGTGATGGTTACAGTGGTGGTGTATGAGAGGGTGGTGGTAGCGCTCCAGGTTGTGATTGCGGTGGGCAATGTATTCGGTTGGCGGAGGTGTGAGGGTGATGTGGGTGGCGCTGATGGCGAAGGGCTGGCGGTGTGAGAGTGATGGTAGATGGGGTTGGTTCGGGAAGGTGATGGTAGTCGAGGTGGCGCTGATGTGGATGGAGTAGGTAAGGATTGTAGTGGTGGCAGTCATGAGGGTGATGAGGGACGGTGGCGTTTTAGGTTGTTCTGATTCTGCAGTAAAGCGAAAGTGTTGGTGATGAGGCCCCCGCGGTGGCGAGATGTTAACTACCTCGCCTGGTATACGGGGGGTCGTGGATTTTCCCCTCTACATTTTATAAAACGTGCGTTAAAAGTATTTGTCTGCTGTGAATTTCAACATGAGCCACTTCGTTGGGCTGTCATTTGCGGACAGGTCGCTTCTGGAAAAAAGAGCTAACAGTATATATAGCTCGGTGGGCGTTACATTTCTAAATTGGAATAAATGACAGGATGGCGGTGATAGGGTCCTGAATGTAATGATTACCGGTAATTGTGGAGATATCTTGTGGCGATGTAGCGTTTCAGGAGTTGGTGATGGTGGCAAGAGGTGTGAGGGTTAAATGTTCGTGACATTGGTTCTGATCGTAAAGGTTATGATGGTGGATGTGCAGTCGGTGGTGTTGGTAATGATTGTGGAGGTGATGGTGTTGGATAGTACAGCTGGTGGTGCATCTACCGGTCATCTCAGTCAGCCAACCCATGGCACCTGCTGGGTGTGTCCCGAGACCTCCTGCACCTAGCCTGGCACAGTAGGGGGGTACAGCTGGTGGTGCATCTACCGGTCATCTCAGTCAGCCAACCCGTGGCACCTGCTGGGTGTGTCCCGAGACCTCCTGCACCTAGCCTGGCACAGTAGGGGGGTACAGCTGGTGGTGCATCTACCGGTCATCTCAGTCAGCCAACCCATGGCACCTGCTGGGTGTGTCCCGAGACCTCCTGCACCTAGCCTGGCACAGTAGGGGGCACAGTTGCTTGTGCATCTACCAGTGGTCATCTCGGTCAGATGACCCATGGCACCTGCTGGGTCTGTCTCGAGACCTCCTACCAGCGGCGAGCCTTCGACATTTCACGTGGCCTCAAAGTGCACCTAGCCTGGCACAGGCGCCGTGGAGACGTCACTGTCACTTAGTGGCGTATGGCGCGTATTGGTATTGATGGTAGTGGCTATGGTTCTGCTAGTAAGGGTTGTAAATGGTGCGAGTGTTGCTCATGGCGAATTGTGCTATTGATGGAAATGGTGTTTATGGAAGTTGCGGTGATCTGGTGGTGGTGGTGGTGATCGCTATCGCGTTTGGTGGAGATTGTGGAGGTTTGCAATGGGAGGGATTCGTGAAGGCATGTATGATGGGTGCGGGAGCGGATAAAACAATACGCATTGGAAGCGGTGGTGGAAGCAATTAATTAGGATACATTAGTAGCAACGGTGGTGGGTGTGGCAACTTACTGGAAAGCATGGGGAAACATTTGAAGCAGATGGAGCATAAGTGAAGGCAGCTGTAGAATTAGAATAAGCAGCATTTGAAGCAGAAGAAGCATTGTACCAGCAGCAGAAGCATTGTACCAGCAGCAGAAGCATTGTACCAGCAGCAGAAGCATTGTACCAGCAGCAGAAGCATTGTACCAGCAGCAGAAGCATTATAGCAGGGGCAGAAGCATTATAGCAGGGGCAGAAGCATTGTAGCAGGGGCAGAAGCATTATGCCAGCGGCAGAAGCATTATACCAGCAGCATAAACGGCAGCAGTACTGCAGCAAAGTAGCAGGCAGCAGTACTGTCTTGTATTAGCACTGCGTTCAATTAATTTTCTATGACCGAGATAACCCGCTGCCTCCCTCAGTAGGCTCATTATTGCCATATCCAAGCAGGCACAGCTAAAAAAAAAACCTCGGAGTTGCTGGGTACCCTGCCCTTGATGATGATTGTCTGAGCAGGTTCACAATGGCCATGTCGGAGCACAGCGACTGTAATCGGATGCAACCCTGTTTTGTTGTCAAGGTCCGTTTTGTTGTTATCAGATTGGCACAGAGGAAGTATTGCCGCTGTCTGATTGGTGGCATAGCTGTGGTATGGTTGTGGCTTGTTTACGAATATTTTTTTTTAAACTGTGACTCGAGAGCAACTCCCGTCGTGTAATGGTGAGCGACTTTGACTAATAAGCCCAGAGGTCGCCGGTTCGATTTCATCTCCCAGCGCGAAAAGTGTCACCGATGGGCGAAGTTTGTTGAATCGCTCTGCAACCTCCATCCTCCACCCAGCAGTATAAATACCGTAACACCGCAGTCGGTCGACATGTTGCATGTGGTGGGACAAAGTGTGGGTAACTCTCACCTCTTTTAAGACGTCCGAACAGCGTGGACAGGTAGCTCAAGTACACTCTAGACGGGACTCCAGAGCTCCTTCCTAGTAGAGGCCCTTTTGCAGTGGTTTGAGAAAACAATTGCAGAGCTGCACCTTTAAACCTGCGGTATAACAAAACTATAGCGCTGAACTACCGGGTACTGTGACTGCATATTCACCCATTATAAATTAAAACAATACGATGTTTTAGTCCGTCGGCCTATATTAGCTTTGCGTTCAGACAGATTTTCCGTCAACATTTGCTTAAGAAAGCAAGCTTCTGGGACTGGTTTCGATTTTCCTGAGTCTGATGGGCAGACTCGTGTTCGTTAAACACATGCCGCTATAAATTAATGATGGGGGGGGGGCTTTTTTAATACGAAAAGAAAACAACGTTGTGTAAATTTCGATTTAAAGCTTTCGTGACTGCAAGGATTCATATTATTTGGTTCTTTCGGTAAAGTCACGTAGAATGAGAATAAAATAATAAAATAAAATAACACAATAAAATTCTCACGACGTTTCGGCCACAACACGAGTGGCCTTCTTCAGGTGAAAGGAACAAACCTGTCGGAACGACAGAGCTTCAATTGTGCTGTGGCCGAAACGTCGTGAGAATTTTATTGTGTTATTTTATTATTTTATTCTCATTCTACGTGACTTTACCGAAAGAACCAAATAAAACGTTGTGTAAGTAAGTTAATTTACAAATTCGTCTTCGTGCGCTTGACTTAAAAAATTTTAATCACAATATCTGTTAGAAAAATCGCGATTAAAAGCTACGTCAGGTCGAGACGAATTGAAAGCCTTGTTTAAAATCGTTACAGAATCGTTTTAACGCGTATTTGGGGGCATTCTCGCGCGTATTACACGCTCCTCGCGCTTGTTGCAAAAGTAGGACTGTACGGTTTGGGGTAAATATCTAATTGCGATTTTTCTGGCAGATATTGCGATTTGATTTGCGATTACATTTCTTAAAAGTCAAGCTTCAGTTTAATATTCACTGTGTAATATATTTAAAACCTGTGATGGAGCATTACCAAATGATACCATCAACATATGAACTGCTCTATATATTCTAATGCAAGGATGATAACTTAAAATATATGAATTGCTTCCAACATGTATTTGTAAAAAAAAATTGTAAAGAGAATAATAAAACATGGAGCAATTGTTAAGATAAAGAAATAAAGTTCTAATAAAAAAATCAAACCATTCTAATAAGAAAGTAATAGGAATTTTAAAATCGCAAAAAATCGCAGCCTTTGCGATTTGTTAAACGCATTGTTTCAAATTGCGATTTGAAATCGATTAATCGTTCAGCCCTATGCAAAAGTACCGGGGGGGTGGAGTGGGTTCGTTATTTCGTCGGCATCCCCCCCCCTCCCCTCTGGTATAGACCAATCAGTTTCAAAGCCAATGCCATATATTCACAGAGCATGTTTTGTTTGCATGTTCACCATAAGTACCGCGTGTGGTTAATGCAGTACTTGATACCTTGCAACAAGGCCGTAATTATATTATATATTGAGGGGGGGACACATCCAATATTCAAATATGCTCAAAATGCCCCCCCCCCCCAATATATTGCTATAAAATAGATTTCTGTTAGTATGATTGTGGTTATGGTTGTACTTTATTCATCCCTAACCTCTGCCATTACATACAATGAAACAGGAAAAGGTAAAAAAGAAAAAACGGAGCAATGTAATACAGTACACTATTAGACATTATTGTAAGCAATAAAGAAAAAGTCCATCCCATGTGTTAGTGAATTTTTTTTTTATATTTTAGGCAGGAAATGGCAGGGAATTCGTTTTCAAATTTAGATTTTTTTCTGGGGGTGGACCCCCAGACCCCCCGGAAGATTTGGTCCCCCCCAATGTTGACTCCATGGCTACGGCCTTGCCTTGCAAAAGGTTTCATCTTAACACCTATTCTTGG